AGAGGGAGCACAAACCCAAAACCCAGTATCTAAAATCCCAAACACAAACCATCCCAAAACAGCCATGAATAATAATGAAAGTAATAACAATAAGTACATAAACATAAAGTCACTGAGTCATGGTCGCAGGACCATGACATAAATTGGACAAAGTGATGAAAGAACGAAGATGGACTGCCTCCAGGTTCTTCACCTCAAATTATTAGCTAGATGGTTGAACCTATGACACAGCTGAATAGTCCAACAGCACAAGGATCCAGGCACACATCAAAAGTTTTAGGAATGTACAAAGTATAGTAATGTTAAGCTTCTGAAATGGCTTTTTCAAAGCCCTGACCTCAAACTCAACTAATATTAGTGTACATATTCAGCTCCTGATGCTGTGTGGATTTGAAAAAATCCAAAATAAATTGTTCAAATTCTTGTTTTTTAAATACTTTAAAGCAGCGGTCACCAACCTTTTTTGCGCCACGGACCGGTTTATGCCCGACAATATTTTCACGGACCGGCCTTTAAGGTCTCGCGGATAAATACAACAAAATAAAACTAGTACCGGTACCGAAAAAAAGAAGATTTATTCATAACACACGTGAAAAGACCCAGGAAAACAGAGTTAACGATAAAAACAATAACAAAATAACACTGAAAACTGATAAAAACCCTGAAAACCATACATTTCACACCCGAGCCTCAACTCTCGCGGCCCGGTACCAAACGACTCACGGACCGGTACCAGTCCGAGGCCCGGGGGTTGGGGACCGCTGCTTTAAAGATGTATGCTGTACAATCATTCCACTGACTGTACAGCATACATGCAATGGTCAAGGAAATTAATGGAAAGGCTCAAATCACAATGCCCATGATGAGTGTTTGTAAACTTCTGACCACAAGATGTAGGTATCTTTGCATCTGTCTCCATGATCTAAAACGAGCTTAGATCTCTGTATTCCTGTCTTTATTAAAACGACTTGAACATGAAATGACCAGCAATACTTTTAAACACTTGTTCACATAGCTGAGGCTAGAATGCGGTGTTCTTATTATTAAATTCAAGAGTACATTTTAAGGTTCTTTACACTATAAGGTAAAGATGCTACAGTACAGTAAATGACTTGTCAAATTGTGAAGCACTTGTGTACTCAAGTAGCCACTTGACATATTACAGTTTAGTATTTCCATAAGTTTCATCATGGCCAGTTAATAACTATACTAATGCTGGTGTGCTTAAGTATATCATAAGTGAAATATAAGTTGATATAGTCAGTGTGGTTGGGTATTTTATTTATACTTGTATCACTGTGGATGCCAAGGACATGAAGGAGGAGGAGAAGTGGAAGTACAGTAGTAAAGATTTGAAGCTGCAAGTCATCTGATTTTAGATGTGCTGTAGTTATAACCTTGATGAAGATTGTAACGACAGTGGGTTTGTGTAAATGGTTGGTAGTGGGAGGAGACACGGGGAGACATATAATTCACTATAAGGGATTGCATGGCAGACTGACAGTTATCGTAACGAGTTTCTTAATTATTATTTGAGTGAAGTTTAACAAACTTGTCAAAGCAAGAACAGGACTTATGAAACTGTTACAACAAACTGTAGACCAAATGGTTGTAGATCATGACAGTGAGCAACCCAACACAATACCAGGAACTTGAGACTGGCATACTAAAATGCTGTAATACTGTTAGGTTTTCAGTCCATCACATGTGTGCAATGAAAAATGAGTAATTACTCAAGGTCAAGTTGACAAGCTGTTCTCACAGCAGAGAAAAGCAGACAGGAGGGGAAACACTGAGAGCGACACCCCAGTGCAGGTGCAACACAAACAGACAGTACGTGCACTCAGGACAGCTTTGGCACTATATCATAGTTGAAGAGTTTGTTCTTGCTTGGTGGAGAAATGCTAGACTTTAGACTATTGATCAGTAAGTGTCACTTGTACTTTTCAGTTTGTGCCAGGGAATGTGCTGTATGTCTGCTCTCACTGGGGCTTGAGCCATCTCTGTGAGGGTTTGAAGGGCAGCTGGAAAGTAAAAACATGAACTACACAGCAGCTACGCAGCTAGTATAGCTCACTATTTACTCTTTTAGATTTCATCACCTTTTCAGCAAAGTGTATTTGTTGGTGTGTTATGTAACGTTAAAAGCTGGAGTGCTGCACAAGCATGTTGGCATGCGAGCTTTTGTGCTTGTCAGTGTGTTGCTGTGCAAAGATGCTTTTATATTATCCTCTGCTATTTTATGTATGCTTGTTTGTGTGTCCTCAAATGTGTGTGTGCAGGGAGCAGGGGCATCTCTCTGACCTGTGTACTGACCCCCTGTCGGGTAATTGGAGTGTGTGTAACACTGATGACCTTGGGAGCCATTGGAGCAGCCGTTTGGGCCGTAGGTCAGACTGCAGTTCTTGCACACCTACACACATTTGGTTCAAAAGTGTTGACGAACATAATCTGTTATTGTTGATATTTCAAGCAGTTGATATTCTGTGCTCTGTGCTCTGTCTGATGATGCAAATGCTTTCATTGTTTGCTGTAACAGACTGATGTGCTGTTTTTATTAAACTTTGTAGTTACATATTGCACAATGGAGGAAGACATAGAACAGTATGATGGTGAGTCTAC